CCTTTTTTGGTCCAACCACCCACCACCACCATGACAACTTCATTCTTCTGTTGGTGTCTGTCTAGCCATTTGGCATGCCGCACAGCTGCAGAAGATGCGACAATAAAACAGTAGCACATAATCGTTTTATGTTTACATCTTCCAGGAACAAACACCTTACCTCTTTGCTTACATAAACTTCGTTGAATGTATTGTCTCAATTAAGTTGCTAGATCCAGTCGCCTTGCGACCAGTGCGCATAGAGCGACTCTACTCTGTCAGTTGCATTGAAAGGCAACTGCAGATGTATGTTTTTTTTCACTTCTCGTACTAGTATATTGCGCGTACCCAAAGCAGGCCTCGTTTCTTTCTCCCCTCCCCTTGTCATTTACATTTTTGTTGCTTTCTGTCCCGCGGTCTCCCGCAGCCGGCAGCGTGCGTGTGCTCGTGCGTGTGAGTGCATTTGCTCCGCATGTTTTCAAGGTTGTGTGTGCCCGTGGCGCAGACGCGGGCGGCGCACGCCTTGGCAAGAAGGAGAAAGAGGAAGCAACCGTTCCAAACACGGACGTAAAATGCAGCCGTCCCCCCCCCCCCCCCTACCACCCCGCACCCCACTGGAACTGAGATCCCTAAGGAGGAATCGTGGTCATTTAGCGAAACCAAAAAGGATGAAGAAAAACAAGAAAAAAATGTCGTGAAAACAAAAAAACATAATAAGAAGGATGATTTCCCTACTTTTTTCTTCCTCCTCCACTTTTTTTTATGTATTTGTTTCACTGTTTACGGATGCTTTCCATGTCACCATTGCACATCGCTGAAGGAGCCGTTACCGGGCTGGAATACATCCTCCAGCTCCTCCTCCGTCATGAGCTGCGCCAGACGCTTCTTTGCTGGCTTCGCCACCTGCGACATCTTCAGGAAGATGACCTCGCCCTGATTCAGCTCCAGCTCCACAACACCGCCCACTTCCTTCGTCAGGTAACGAATAGCCTCCAACGCGGACTGCGTGTGCCTCTCCAGTAGTCCTTGCGACGCCAACTGCGCGGACACGTGACTCGAGTACAAGCAAAACATGTCTGCAGCGCTGCGGTCGAAGCAGACGTCGTACAGGAATCGGAGGGCCTTCGTCAGTAGTGTCATACCAGGCGCCTCGTACGTGTTCCCCTCGCGGGTGCGCACCAACCCAATGCCATTGCGGCCGGCAATCTCATTGGCCACCTGTAGCGCCTGCAGCGGGGTCACATCTGCCCCATTTATATTCGTGCATCGAGCGCTGCGGAAGGTGAGGGAGCAGAACTCTGGCGTGGTGAGGCATTCCTGCAGTAGTCGCACCATCCTTGGCGCTGGCGCAGGCACTGTAGAAAGTGGTCGATGCGTGGTGCCGCACACACTGCTGTGTGACTCAAATTGCGCGGTCCTGGCCTCCACCCCGTGCCTGCGCAGGAAGGCAACCTTGTGTGCATCGCTGGGGAACTCTTCCAGCAGAGTCGAGTCACGCCATGGGTTATAGACGCCCATTTGAGGGAAGAAGGTGTGAACATAGCTCTCAAAGTTCAGGTCCTTGCTGCCCCGGGAGGAGCTCTGTGCCACGACAGTCATTTGGCGTCCGCGCATGGCCCGAAGCAGATACAACCCCATCACATGCAAGCTTAGCATGGACAGGTGCCAGTTGTTCGTGTTCTCGCCAACCATAGCCATCACCATGTCAAAGCCAAGTTCTGCCATCTCAGAGCGTAGATCTACGAGTTCCACGGACACGCCAATCCCGCGTAACTGCTCCGCAAGCTCCTCGCTTTGGGCGGAGATACCACCAAGACAAGCGTGGAAGCATGTGAGAGCAATTTTCTCTTCCTTCAGGCGTATCGCAAGCACCTTACTGTCATTTGTGGAGGTAATACACAGACCAACCTTGTGGCGGTGCAGCATGGTGTAATTGTCATTTCCCATCTTGTGATATATACGTGGAACGTAGTGGCGGAAGGGCTCAATCTCAATCTCATTTGGACTAATGTCAAGTGAGTCGCAGAACATCCGCACCAGATTCGGCTCCGTCAGGAGAGAGTGGTTATAATCCACCGCAAGTCTTCGAATCCAATAGTCTGGCGTAGCCGTCTCCATCGTGCATCGTCGCAGCATGAAGTCTTGTCGTTTGTCACGCAGCTGAATGACAAGGTCAAATTTTCCCTTTGAAGCAACCTCCGCGTCAAACGTTGGGTTTTCTTCCTCGTGGCGCTGTGTTAGGACGGTGTGTGGAATGCCGTAATCAAGAAGCACCTTTGCAGTTTGCCTCGAGGTAAAGATCGGAAATCGCTGTGCGAGGCGCTCCATGTAGGGGCAGAGCTCCTCCGCCATGGTGTCAACGTCGCAGCTGATGAAGACCCCAAGCCGCGGGTACCGGAAGTTCTGGCACAGCATCGCCTTTAGGAACACCTCCGTCCTGTCGCGTCCAAAGACGCCCACCTCGCCGGTGGAGGCCATCTCCACCCCAAGGATGGGGTCGGCACCTGCGAGGCGGTTAAAGGAGAACATGGAGGCCTTGCAGCCAATGTGCGTCATCTTCGCACGCTTAATCGGCACGAGGTCGGACTCGCGTTGCGAGAGAAAGGCCGACACCATCACGGCGGGAAATGAGATGCCGAGAGTCTTGGAAACGAACGGGACAGAGCGTGAGCTGCGAATGTTTGCCTCAATCACGCGCAGCTGCTTATCCTTCGTAAGAAGAAATTGAACGTTCATGGGGCCGACGACGTCAAGCTCCTCCGCGATGCGTGTGGTGGCTGTGTAGATGCGCTTCATGGTTTCCTTGTCAGTGTTCTGCGGTGGCAGAAACATTGTCGCGTCACCCGAGTGCACACCGGCGTTCTCAACGTGCTCGCAAATGGCGTAGCAAAGCACTCGACCATGGTGGGCGACGATGTCCACATCGTACTCCATCGCACCCTCGTAGTACTTGCTGACAACAACAGGATGCTCCCCAGAGACGAGGGAGGCCTCGGCAAGGTAGCGGTCAATGTCGGCCGCACCCGCAATCACAGCCATCGCGGACCCGCTCAGCACATAACTCGGTCGCACCAAGGTAGGAAACCCGACACGTTCGCAAAACTCATGCACCTGCTCCACACTTGTGGAGAGAATCCATTCCGGCTGCGGCACACCAAGCTCGTCACACATTTTGGAAAACTTGTGACGGTTTTCTGCCTTGTCAACATTGACAGGATCGGTTCCAAGGATTGGCAGGCCATGCTGCTTCAGACGAAGCGCCATGTTTTGCACAATTTGTCCACCAAGTGAGATGACCACGCCTTGGATCCGCTCCTTTAGCAGAATGTCCAGCACGGCCTCCTCCGACACCTCCTCAAAGTAGAGACGATCACATTCATCGTAGTCGGTGGAAACAGTTTCAGGGTTGTAGTTGATCAAAATCACCTTCTTTCCCAGACGACGCAGTTCGCGTGCGACAAGAACACCGCCATAGTCAAACTCCACACTGTTGCCTATCCGGTAAACACCGCAGCCAAGGACAGCATACATACGCTCAGTGAAGTCCACATCATCGTTGTGTGCGTTGTAGCTGGTGTAGAGATAACAGCACTGGGCAGCCGGGATCTCGCCGGCCACTGTGTCAATCTGCTTAACTTTTGGGGTAATTTTCAATTCCATACGACGCTCCCGTACTTTGTCCGCCGTACAGCCAATGTACTTGGCAATCTGGGGATCACTGAAGCCATGCGCCTTCATGTTCAGCAGGAAATCATGTGGCATGTCCTGCATTTTTCCTTTATATAATCTCACCATTTCGTTCTGGAGCACAATAAGATGATGGAGCTTTTTGAGGAAAAATGGATTGATACGTGTCATCGTGTGGATAGTCTCAACTGAAGCCCCCTCGTGGAAGGCGCGGCAAATGGCAAAAATTCGGTCCGGTGTAGGGACCCTCACATTGTGCATGTAATCCCACGCCTTCTTCGTCTCAAGTCTGAGAGGGACGTCAAAGCCAGTGTGGGTCGGGTCCACCATGCGCAGTGCCTTTTGCAACGCCTCCTCAAAGTTTCGGCCAATAGCCATTACCTCGCCCACGCTCTTCATCATGGAGCCGATTTCCTGACTCACCATGTTGAACTTGGCCAGGTCCCAGCGTGGCATCTTTACAACAATGTAATCCAAGCTCGGTTCGAAGCACGCCATCGTCGTCTTGGTGACACCATTTGCAATCTCAAAGAGACCTTTGCCAAGCGCAATCTTCGCCGCGACGTGCGCGAGAGGGTATCCGGTTGCCTTGGACGCCAACGCAGAGGAACGAGAAAGACGGGCATTGACCTCAATAACAACGTAACGGTGTGAGGTGGGGTCAAGACCGTACTGGATGTTGCACTCACCCACGATGCCAAGGTGACGGATGATTTTAATGGACGCACTGCGCAGCATGTGGTACTCGTCGTTGGTCAGAGTCTGCGATGGAGCAACAACGATGGACTCACCGGTATGGATACCCATTGGATCAAAGTTCTCCATGTTGCAAACCGTGATACAGTTGTCGTAGATGTCGCGCACCACCTCATACTCAATTTCCTTCCATCCAGCCACACTCTCCTCCAGCAGCACCTGCGGCGAGGCCGCGAGGGCCACATTCACCCTATGACGCAACTCCTCTTCATTGTGTACAATACCGCTGCCTTGTCCACCGAGGCAGTAGGCCGCCCGCACCATTAGAGGAAACCCAATACTCTTTGATGCCTGTACCGCCTCGCTTACGGAAGTCACAGCTTCAGATTTGGCCACTTGTTCGTTGATCTGCAAGAGTGCGTTACGGAACAGCTCTCGATCTTCTGTCACGGCAATCGTGGCGACAGGTGTACCAAGGACCTGCACATTGTACTTTTTGAGGACCCCACGTCGGTCCAGTTCCAAGCCACAGTTTAGTGCCGTTTGGCCTCCCCAAGCCAGCATGATCCCGTCAGGTCGTTCTTTTTCAATGACACGTTCCACAGCTTCTGGTGTAACTGGTACAAAATAAATGTTGTCTGCCATTTCATCGTCGGTTTGCACCGTCGCAATGTTGGGATTCACAAGCACTGTCTCTATGTTTTCTTCACTCAATGCCTTGAGACACTGCGAGCCACTGTAGTCAAACTCGCCAGCCTGTGCAATGACAATACCACCCGCACCCAGTACAAGCACCTTTCTCGGTTGAGACTTGGAGGCTTCCTTCACTTTAGCCTCCTTCACACGTGCAACGAAGTCGCCAAAGAGATACTCGGTATCCTGTGGACCACAACGTCCCTCAGGATGGAACTGCACAGACTCAAATGGCTTTGTACGATGACGTAAGCCCTCATTGCTATCATCGTTGGGGTTGTAAAAAAACTCTTCCCATTCATCCTGGGGCATCGTTTTAAAGTCGACAGCAAAACCATGATTTTGGGTCGTAATGACGACATGACCATCACAACGGCACGTTGCAGGTTGATTCTGCCCACGGTGGCCATACTTCATCTTGTATGTGGTGCCTCCGGCAGCAAGTGCCAACATCTGATTTCCCATGCATATACCAAAGATTGGTTTTTCCTGCGTCAGAGCCCATCGAACATTTTCAATGGTTTTTGTGCACATCTGTGGGTTACCAGGACCATTGGAGATGAAGAGGCCATCGTATGTTTCCTTCGTAATATCCCAGTCGTGTGGCACGACGACGAGGGTCACGTCGTACTTTAGCAGGCACCGCAGTGAGTTGAGCTTTACACCCATATCAATGACAAGGATGACAAGTGTACCATGCCCATAGGTAAGGCGTGTCTTTGTGCTGACTTCAGCCACCAAGTTGCGTGTATTGGGATCCAAAAAGGGGACGTTTAGGTCGTTGACGACAATTTTACCCAGCGCAGTACCCATGTCACGCAATTTCAATACAATATGGCGTGTATCCACCATCATGAGACCTGGAATCTTGTTTCGCCGCAGCCACTGCCCAAGTGTTTCGTGCATCTGCCAATGTGCTGGATCCTCGCAGTACTCGGACACCACCACGGCACTCACGTGGATTTTACCGTTCGGGCTTTCGAAGTACTTCGTCATGCCGAAGTGATCGATCTCAATAGGGGGGATACCGTAGTTTCCAACCATTGGCGATGTCAGAACGAGGATTTGTCCCTGGAACGAGGGGTCCGTGAGGGCCTCCGGGTATCCAACCATGCCGGTGGCGAAAACGACCTCACCCGCCACGCTCTTCTCGTAACCGAAGGAGTAGCCCTCAAAACGTTCACCACCGTGCAGGACAAGTGACGCCTTTGTTCTTTTCCCGGACATTTTATCTTACTTTGGCCCGCTTGCAGTTACGTTATTGCTGTCACTATGGTCTGTCGATGTCGATGGTGTTTTACTTTTTCCCCTCCTGTTTCCACCCAGTGTGTATGTGTACTTGTTATCGTGTCTTTTTTTTTGCTTTTCGTTTCTTCTTTATACTTCGTGTGTTTACCTTCTTCTGCTTCACCTGCTTGATTGCCTTCAGATTTGTTATGTCTGCGTCGCCTTGCAAAAGTGTTTCCCCCTGCCTGCAAAGGTCGCTGATGCTACTGGTGTACGATTGTGCAGTTGCGAGCTTGTTCGCTGCTGTGTTGCGTGAGTGAAGCCCCTCCGAAGACCGTCGTTCTTCGGCAGTTATGTGTGTGTGTGTGTAGAGAGAGAGAAAGAGAGAGAGATGACAACACGCACGAGACGGCACACACACACACACAGTGGTGGAAAGAGAAAGGAAGAGAGAGAGAGAGAGAGAGAGAGCGAGAAGGTGGATGACACACCACCGCTGAGTGGCCGAGTGGGTGGGAGTGCGCAATGTGCGGGCTCCTTCTGAGGGTAACTTTTTTTTGTTTTTTTTCGTGACTCGTCGCTTTCAGTGCGTGGCGTCCCCACACAACTCCCTACGTTTTTCCTTTTTCGCCTTGTGCTTTTCCT